GCAAAGAGGTCTGATGACATAAAGGGAGGCTCTGTATCCTGAGACCGATGCAAGCTACCAGCAAATTTGCCGGTATTTTGCTCTTGCGAGCCTGTGGTTTAGCACTGATTTTACCAGGGTGGCTGATAACACTAAGAGGGACACAGACCATAATAACAGAGATTATAACCATTGTCTATCATAAGCAAAGCTAAAAAATGCTTTATCTGTAAAAAATAAGTCAAGGCAACTGGACTTGCTGGGAATAAATATGGTAAATGTCACTCCAATCCACATAATCTCTGGGTTGGGCTTTATAATGAACACTTAGCACTAAAATTGTAGGCACTGTCCTGTAAAGACCTTATTCCGGGTCTGAAGCAGGAGGGATTACTATTTTCTTGTAAAGTACAGTTTTAGGAGAATATCAGTTGTAAGGGATCGTTTCTCTCTTTCTTCCACCAGATGGCACTGTAGTAGTATATGCATGAAGTCTCTAAGCAGTTCCCAAGAAGTGAAAAAATACTCAAAGGGGTTGATTTACTAACCTTATAAACACACCACGAACGTGTATACACCTCTGCAGTGTGTTCCCTCCCAGCATGATCTATGGGTGGAATCTAAACACCTTTGTAATGTGTACACACCCAGCAGGTGTGTTGTGCAAAGCCCTGCATGAATTACAAGGTGATGTTGGGTAAATTAGCTCTATGTTGTGTTGCTTGCGTTGATGAATGCAAGAAATGTAAATGCATGAGCTAACCATTTTTGTCTAAACTGTGAAGCAGCATTATATATGCATCATGTGCATGATTTTTCCATATATGGCATTGGTGGAAATATGCTTTTAGAGACTTTTTGGTTGATAAATACGTTTTGCTGTGTGAAAATCACACACACCTGGTGTGTGTGTGTGTGTTTAGGTTAGTAAATCACCCCCAAAGACTGTTAGACACATCGGGGGGAATTCATAAAGACTGGAGGAGGAGCAAACGATGAACTTTTCATTTCGTTCAGTTAAGCTTTGAAAATTAAATGGAGAAGCTGTTTGGTTGCCATAGGTAACTGCTCCAGATTCCAGATAGTATTAGTAAATTTAAAGCAGAACTCCAGGCAACATTTTTTACTTAACCCTTGCAATGGGGCTACCTCTGCACTGCAAAGGTTAACTACTCATAAAAATTTAAAAAAAAAAGGAAGTTATACTTACCTGATCCTGGGAGCTGGCTGGCTCTTAGATCAGCCCCTGGAGCCTCTCTCCTCTCCCCCGCTGCAGTGCTCTAAATAATCATGTTCTATACACAGTGTATAAACGTGACACTTTGGAACATTTCAATGCTGCAGTGAAGGAGGAGAAAGGCTTTAGGGACAGGAGAAGCAGCCAGGCAGCTCCAAAATTCGGGTGAGTATAAGGCTGGGCACACACCTTACAACCATTGCAAGACTTCTGTCTTGCAATGGTTGTAAGGTACTTAAAAAAACGTACGATCTGCCTATCTTGCATAGGCAGATCATACTTGCGATGGTCGCAAGCCACGCCCCCTGAGGGGCGGGCTTTCGATGACCGCAATGCCGAACGGGCAGTGTGCGCTTGCGGGCAGTGTGCACATGTCCGTAAGTTTAAAGTTGTGCGACCTTACAGTAGTAGAGGTCGCATGGCTTCCACACACCTTACGATAATTGTACGATCGCGGGATTTCCCGCGATTATCGTACGATTATTGTAAGGTGTGTGGGCACCCTAACTTTTCTTTTTTTTAGCACCTATATACAAATGTGAACTTAACCCTTGCAATGCAGGGGTAGCCCCAATGAAGGGTTAAGAACACTTTTGCCCAGAGTTCTTCTTTAAAACAGTTCTCCAAATATCTGTAGCTAGGTTTTCCAAAGTCCGTACAATGTTCCACCTAATTTATGTATATTTGTCAAATTGCAGATGAACCAATATTATATCAATATAAAAGCTATACGCCAAATACAAAAATGCAATTGTCTATAGGAGCAGATTTTTCAGAGCACAGCAATGTATACCGCTTGCCGGGAGGATAAAGATAGTCCTATTAGAAAAGTGATTTTAGCTTAAGTAACCAATCATATTGCCAAATATTCAGAGCCACTCCGGAGAAGAGTGTACTGGTAACTAAAAGTCTATATAGCTTCACAGTGAGGTGCACGAGATGGGTGTCACAATGTAAAATAGAACCTTATCCGGCTCCATGCATAGCAGGTTTCCGGACTCTGAACAACACATTGTTGTAGTATTCAGAAACAGCTTGTTTACCCCTTCTATGGATGCAAGCGCAGGGTCAGGTCATGCTGCTGGAAATATGATTCATTTTCACTACATGTAACCCATGATACAGGCTGCTGAGACAATTACAAATTAATTATGTTTAACAAAAGTGCGGTAATACAGTACTGTGAAAATTGAGGCGCTTATTAAAAAAAAAAAAAAGTTCCAAATGAGGATGTTTTCACAAATAATGAAATTAATAATTTTTATTTATTAACAACCTACAAAGTACATAAACAAAGAAAACCTAATTGAAAATATTATGCGTGTTGCCCTTTGCTTGTTCACAGCATGTACAGACCAGAATGTTTTTTGTCTGCACCTAAAATGCATCCCAAACAATGGTATTTCTTGGCTGTTTACACCAGTGCGGTCTGTTCCAGTGCAGGGGAAATAAAAAAACTGCATGCACTATTTTTTTCTTGTCTGGAACACACTAAAATGCAAGTAAAATGCATCAAAAACCCATGCAAACACACTGGCCTGCTCCTGAAAACCCGTTTTAAGTTAAAGAAATGCACTGGAACAAGTCAAAAACGCACTACACGTGCAGAAACACACCCAGGTCTGGTCCAGACATGGTGTGAACAGGAAACAGCATCAATTCTTCTAGGCATACTTGCACACATCCGTTAGCAGCCAGCACGTTTCAGACAGCCAGTCCTTCTCCCAAACCCGAGCCTGCCCCCCCCTCAGATCCCTGCCACACTAAACGTCTGACCCAGATCCCCATTGACATCGTATTCTTCCCAGCACCAACTATTGCCACATTACCCTGCCCACCACCACCAGCAACCCTGGACTCCCAATCCATCCACACTTCGTCGCTGACAAAGCGCTAGTACCCACACCCTGGTAAGTCTCATTCCATTATTCCCTTATTTTTTTCTTGCTCAGTCACCACTTGGTAGTGCGCTTCTGTATTTCTTGTCTTCTCTTTTGTGGATTTAGGCCATCTCAGTTTCCTTTGTCTCTTCATGTAATCAATGATGATGAGAGCAGGGCTCTGTGGGGACCATACCATTACTTTCAGGATTCCTTGTTCTTCTTTTAGCTGAAGACCGATATTTTTCCCCCAAATCCTTTATTTATTGATATAGAGCAAGAGAAACCATCAAGAGACATTACAACGTCCATGTTTACTCGTCAACACAGCTACTGTCCAATGTTAGACAACAGGAGGCTGCATAAGTATCACAAGCTGTAAAGACCTTCCAGATATTATGAGGTCAGTCATCTCAAGCTGTCCAGCATTTAGGCTCCGTTCACACCCGAGTGTTTGTCGCACAAACTTTCCCTTTGAAGTCTATGGGACCAAAAAGCGCTGTAATCTGCCAAAAAGTAACTCATGTACTTTTCCCAGGACAGACATTTTTCTGCTTGCGACAAAATGCTCAGATGTGAACGAGGGCCGTAGAAGTCAATGGGATTCCTTGTTTTGAGCGACAAAATGCCTAAGTGTAAACAGGGATTTTTAATTGACAACTAACTGTAAGGCTCCATTCACAACTAGGGGAAATCTATTACGCGTGTTTTACGTGTATGTTTGCCTGAAGAAGGAACCGCTGTGGTTCCGAAACGTCGCTATATGATGTGATAGCAATCGAGTCAATAAACCGTTTTTTACTTGAAACTCTATTGGGAGTGCGAGTGACTTTATACATACATTTAACGTGTATAATGTCTACACTCCATTCAAGTCCTGGCATGGGACATAAACTGGATCTTATGTCTCCAAAATCCTTAACCGAGTGCAAATGTGGCAAAATGAATGATTGCTATAAAAGGCACAGGGTGGACACAACAAATAATGACTCAATTTAGTTTTCTGATTATGCACCTTTGTAGGTCGTTAATTTTTTTGTAAATATGTTTCATATATATGTTTTATATGTTTCAATATTCAAGCATTATGGATTTAAAAGAAGAACGCCAGGATTTCTTTTCGTTAACCTTTGCAGTGGGGCTACCCCCGCACTGAAAGGGTTAAGTGCTTGTTTGGGTCTAGGTAAAAAAAAAAACACAGGTTATACTCACCCGAAGCTCAGAGCTGGCTCCTTCTTAAGGTGGCCATACACTCTACAACCATCGCAAGACTTGGACAGGCAGATCGCACTCTCGATCATCGCAAGCCCACCCCCCTGAGGGGCGGGCTTCCGATGACCGCAATGCTGAACGGGCAGTGTGCGCGTGCGCACACCGGCCCGTTCGGCATTTGTCTTCCGAGCACCGTTCTAACCAGCCGAGAATCGTACGATTCCTGGCTGGTTTTCGAACATGCTGGTTCGACAGAAGACGTGCGACCGTACAGTAGAAACGGTCGCACGTCTTCGTTCACACTGCTCGATTATCGTACGAAAAACCGATCGCATACGATTATCATACGATAATCGTGCAGTGTATGGGCACCTTTAGACCGGTCCTTCCAGCATCTCTCCTCCTCCTCCGTAGCAGTCTAAGGTACTGTAAATCATCAATGTCTGTATAGACATGAGGATGCTGAGGAAGATTACAATGCTGCAGGGAGGGGGAGAAAGGCTGGAGGGAGTGCTGTGACAGCTGGCCGGCTCAGAGGATCAGGCGAGTATAACTTTGTTATTTTAGCACAGAGCAAATGAACACAAAATTCCTGAAGTTTGACTTTAACTATTACCTGAAGTTGCCCTTAGAACTTAGAATAGAAAATTGATACTGTGACATTTTCTACAATGAAACAGAGCAGTCATAAGTTTAGGTTTAGGCAGTGACTTTAATATCCAACAATTCATTTGCATGTTCACCTGTATGCTAAAAAAAAAAAAAAAAAAAAATGCAATAACATATTTTAAATATTTCATTACAAAATCATTTGGGCTGGCAAAATTAATTTCCATGGCCATTGTTATCGTGTATCACGTTGTGAGAAACTGCACATTAAAAAAAAGGAGGAGGAAGAGAGCTGCAATAGAGGCTTAAAAAAATAGAGGTTATTGCTTGGAAACACATACACATTTGTAAGCATGTGTCTGCCAACCTGACAAATGTCTATTGAGGAGTCAAAGGAACAAAAAGGAAGTATATTAACTACAAAAGAAGTCCGTGGGTTTCCTGAGTACACTAAAGCTATTTCAGAAAAGGGCACAAGAACAGAGTACAGGTCTGTAACAGACTAAGGGCACTTTCTCTCCACACATTGCTTTCCTCCTTCTTCATATTCCTGTTTGGAAATCCACATCTGTTGGAAGGTTCCCTGTGTAGAAATAAGCAATCAGTCAAACTGAATGTAGCATTATCCACGAAGATACCATTTAGAACTGCAGTGTGTAGTTTTTAGGCAACATTTACCATTAGCCTGAGGGCTTGTTCACACCAAATGCAGACCAGATCTGCAGGAGTTTCTGCACACGCAGTGCAGTGGGTTGTGCTGCGTTTTGGATGCATCGTGGGCCGTTTTTGGTTAAAAAATAAATAAAATGGGCTTTCAGTGCTCTTGCGATGCGTTTGCATGCGTTCCAGAGCAGGTAAAATAGGGCTTGCTGAAGTTTTTTTTACATGCTCTGGAACTGAACGCTGCGGTGTGAACTAGAGCCCAAAATACCATTGGAATACATTGGACGCAGTTTTGATCCGGTCTGTAACTGCTCTGCTCCTGGAACGCGCTTGCTGTGAACAAGGCCTAAATCTGCTTTTCTATATTTGAGAAGCTGCTTACAATAGTCTAAAATGGCCTGACAAGATCTAAAGTCAATCACAGACATAACAGGCATGTATATTGGCTGACTGTCATGTACGCTTGACTCACCTACTATACATGCCTATGTAAATGAAGCTGGAAGCATGACCAGTGACCACTTGGAGCTAGCTTATTTCAAAGGAAAGAATGAGAACTGGACAAAGAATGAAAACCTGACCAGTTGATCTTTACAGCTCTACTCTGCTGCAGCCATAGATACCAGTTTGTTTTCCTGTTTTGGCGAGGTCAGATAATGAACATCTCATGTCTGTGGTCAGCCTAAACCAGTGGTGGTCAACTTCCTTAAAATAGGGAGCCTTAAAGTGACATGAAACTCAGGAGTTAAATCTTAAAAATGCATTCAAGTACCTTAACTATTACCAAAAATTTAGTTTGTGTATGACTCAGCTGTAGTTCCTCAAATCATCTCTGAATTGGTGCTGACACTGTCCTTCCTTCTGGAGGGTGGCTACTTTTGTTCCCCATGGTGTGTGTGTGTGTGTGTGTGTGTGTTGTAATGTAGCCACCACTCCAAGCTCATTCCCCAGATGGACAAAAATCTCACATTTAGTTTAGTAATTTGTATTGAGACTGTAGTCCATTACAGGAGTGAGCTTGGAGCAGTGGCTACTTTACAACACACACAGGGAGCATGGGGAACAAAAGTGGCCACCCTCCAGAAGGAAGGACAGTGTCACCATGAATTCAGAGATGATTTGAGGATCTACAGCCGAGTGATACACAAATAAGATACATTTTTTGTGAATGCTTAAGGTACTTAAATATAATTTTAAGATTTAACTGCTGAGTTTAGTGTAACGTTAAAGTGCATTTCCACTTTTGTAGCCAAATTGGGATAACGCCTATTTTATTTGTGTTACATGTTCCCATTCACATAGAATAAGATTTAAAAAAAATTAAATAAAAAAAAAAAAATGCTTCTAGCAATGCAAATTGCTTTTACTTGGGTTAGGGTTCCTTGGCTTCTTAAGGGTTACAATTTCTACTTGCTTCTCCTTCCTTTGTAATGTTAGGAAGGGCTGTGAGGGGTGCGTTCATCATAATTTGTAAAATAGATTTGAACACTGCTTGTCCAAACAAAGAGTTAGTCTAATCACAACTCTGGATTGTGCATTGTATGTTAATGAAGTTCATGAGAGAAACATAATCCTCAGATTTCAGTCCTAAGTCTTTCGATAAGGACAGATGACTGTAAAAGGTGCTCAAAAAAACCACTGGGTTTAGCCATCTTGTCTGCTACAACAAAACATCTAAAAGGCTAAGATTTTTTTTTACATAATTTTTCATTATGCTGTGTGAATGGAAACCATAACATATAGAGGGGGTTTTCTCATATTTGACTGCAAATGTCAAAATGGACTTTAAGTGTGGCCCCTGTCATCACCAAAGGGCCACATACAATATTCAGTGCATGTAATGCTACAGGAAGCTATCACAGACTTCAAAACAGACATCAGGAGATGGCCAGAGACTATGGGTATGCTACAAGATTTGATTAGCGACTATGGGCATGCTACAAGTGATGGTCAGAGACTGCAAACATGCTGCAGATGTTTAGAAACTGGAGCCATGCTTCAGGAGATAGCCAGAAACTAGAAAAAGGTTAAATAAAAAAAAAACTAAAGATCACTGCTATCACCAACCCTTTACAAAGCAAGGCTTCCACATGTGTGCTCTCTATAACCCCCTTAATTTTGGGGGCCATATTTGATTTCCACCAGATCTATTATTAAAAATCAGAAGGGGAGGAAAAAGAAGAAGAAAAGAAATGGACAGCACAGAATAAGTAAGATGGTGTGAGAGTGATAAGCCAAATTGTTTAACCGCTAGAACAGAGGATAAAGAGATATTTCCTTCAAAGGCTGCAGGGGCCATGAGGGCTGCAAGTTGGGCACCAGGGACTTAATCACTACAGAACTGAAAAGCTCAGATCAGTCACCTGCACATGTGTAGGAGAACAACATATCTGAGGATGTTTTCTGTAGCTCACTATTACTGCAGCATGCGTGTATTTCACCTTTCAGCAGTACACCCTGGTACACTGTCAGTACATAATATTTAAAGACACCTGTATTATAAAAAAAAATAATGCTCCCTGTTGTAAAGGATGAAACATTTGAATTTCATATGTATGCGTTGAATATATGTGGCAAGTGTGTATGTATGTCTGCCCCAAAACACAATAATCTATGGGGAAAAAAATCCATCGAATCACTCACCAGAGACGCAAGAATAGAACCACCAATCCATGAACTAAACCGCCTTTCCACTGTTGTGTTGTTTGCAATCAGCTTTAATCTCATACTCTGGAGGGGAAAAATGAAAAGTAATTAGTAACAATCTGATAAAATACTGATGTTACAATATTAACAGTATGTTAAAACTCCAATCAGCCATAACAACCTTCTGATTAGAAAGATAATCTGCTGAGATAAGGCATTACAGTGCAGATAGTTCAATTATCCAAGAGTGCCAAGTATTCAAATTCTAAATCTCAGATGAAATATTGCTGGTTTAGGGCAATTCCGATGCTGTTGCAGTGAACTTTGCTTCTCATCCCTCAGGTAACATAACTGTTTAAAGCATGGCGGGGTGCCATACCCCAATAGGCTGCGTGTATTTGACCTCAAAATCTTAACACATTTTTGTCAGAGGAAGTCCACCAATTACAGGAGGAGGAAAATAAAGATTCTGGGTAACCCCGCCTATTATCTATAATATATACAGTTGTGCTCATAAGTTTACATACCCTGGCAGAATGAATGATTTCCTGGCCATTTTTCAGAGAATATGAATGATAACACGAAGACCTTTCTTTCTGTCACTCATGGGTAGTGTTTGGCTGAAGCCATTTATTATCAATCAACTGTGTTTACTCTTTTCCAATCATAATGACAACAGAAACTACCCAAATGACCCTGATCAAAAGTTTACATAACCTGGTGATTTTGGCCTGATAACATGCACACAGGTTGACACAAAGGGGTGTGAATGGCAATTAAAGGGAACCATCCTCACCGGTGATCTGTTTGCATGTAATCAGTGTGTGTGTATAAAAGGCCAATGAGTTTCTGGCCTCCTGACAGACCCTTGCATCCTTCATCCAGTGCTGCACTGACGTGTCTGGATTCTGAGTCATCGGGAAAGCAAAAGAATTGTCAAAGGACCTGTGGGAAAAGGTAGTTGAACTGTATAGAACAGGAAAGGCATATAAAAAGATATCCAAGGAATTGAGAATGCGAATCAGTTCAAACTCTAATCAAGAAGTGGAACATGAGGGGTTCTGTTGAAACCAAACCACGGTCAGGTAGACCAACTAAACTGTCAGCCACAACTGCCAGGAAAATTGTTTGGGATGCAAAGAAAAACCCACAAATAACTTCAGGTGAAATACAGGACACTCTGAAAACATGTGGTGTGGCTGTTGCAAGATGCACAATAAGGAGGCACTTGAAGAAAGATGGGCTGCATGGTCGAGTCGCCAGAAGAAAGCCATTACTACGCAAATGCCACAAAGTATCCCGCTTACAATACGCCAAACAGCACAGAGACAAGCCTCAAACCTTCTGGCACAAAGTCATTTGAAGTGATAAGACCAAAATTGAGCTTTTCGGCCAGAAACAAACGCTATATTTGGAAAGGAGTCAACAAGGCCTATGAAAAGTACACCATTCCTACTGCGAAACACGGAGGTGGATCGCTGATGTTTTGGGGATGTGTGAGCTACAAAAAGCACAGGAAAGTTGGTCAGAATTGATGGCACGATGAATGCAGTATGTTATTAAAAGATACTGGAGGACACTTTGCATGCATCAGCCCAGAAGCTGCGCATAGGATGTACTTGGACATTCCAACATGACAATAATCCTAAACACAAGGCCAAGTCGACCTGTCATTGGCTACAGCAGAATAAAGTGAAGGTTCTGGAGTGGGCATCTCAGCCTGCTGACCTTAATATCATTGAGCCACTCTGGGGAGATCTGAAACGTGCAGTTCATGCAAGACAGCCCAAGAATTTACACCTGCAGGCTTTTTGCCAGGAAGAATTGGCAGCTTTACCATCTGAGAAGATAAAGAGCCTCATCCACACATACCACAAAAGACTTCAAGCTGTCATTGATGTTAAAGGGGGCAACACACCGTATTAAGAACTGGGGTATGTAAACTTTTGATCAGGGTCATTTGGGTAGTTTCTGTTGTCATTATGATTGGAAAAGAGTAAACACAGTTGATTGATAATAAATGGCTTCAGCCTAACACTACCCATGAGTGACAGAAAGGTTTTCGCGTTATCATTCATATTCTCTCAAAAATGGCCAGGAAATCATAAATTCTGCCAAACTATACAGCACAACTGTATAGTTTGTATAATAAAAAAAATAGAAATGTTAATATTATTTGACATTTACATAAACTAACAGCCACCTGCAGATGGAAATGGGAAAAGTAATTTTAATAATAAAGCTACAGCATGCCTTGATCTGCAACTGTATGCATTGTATCAATGTTTAGAAACCCTAAGACACACATCAGGCCCTGTTTACACTTGTGTCACGATATTAAGCATTACCAGGAGCGCTTCAACACTTGACAATCGGGTTTTCATTATATTCAATGGTGGCCATTAACATCTGAGCATAGTGTCGATTGAAGAACTGCCACTCCCAAATGCATTTGAGCTCTTTTAATGTTGTGTGTTTTGGTCATACAGCTTACCAGTCCTTAAATCTGGTGGCTGCATTAGTTTTTTCAGGCTAAAAATATGTTCCTCCCGTGAACTTGACAGTAAAATTATCGTATTTTTATTATATAAACTATTTCCATCTGCCTTAATGTAATGCAAAAGAACGAAGGCAGGGATGTTTGAAGTTTAGTTTGGGTGGCATCCTTGGCGCCTTCAATTTATACAGTGAAAAAAAATGTAGACACCAAGGGTGCAGGAAGCATGTTATTGTCAGGATTACCTAATCAAAATAAAGTGGGGGGGAAAAGAAAGAAAACCAATGCAGCTATCACATCTAAGGATTGGTAAGTTTCAATATATTTCATTTTTGTTTTTGGGGTTAGATACGCTTTATTTAACATTGGAGGTCTTACTAAATTTGTAGGGTAGAACGAATCATTACAACAAATGTACATACCGGAGGGGTTTTCTGGGAAAGTTCTCTTGTCAGCCTGTCAGTAAATCCTTGTAACAATGTATTTCCTCCAGCTACAATAACACTCCCATATAAACCCTAATACAAAGAAAAAAATAGCAACATGTGACATTCTGAAACATATGTAAATCATTTTGGTCATTTTGATGAGCGGTCATGTACTCCTCGATTTGCTTGGAACCTGCAGTCCAATGGCATTAAGGTATCTTCTCCTCAGTCTTGCACAAATCTTCTAAAAATCTTCCTAAACTTTACTCCATCTTAAAGGAAAACTGTACTGAAAGTATATGGAGGATGTCACTGCTGACCTTTTACAATGTTAGTTACACGTATGTAGCAAGGAAGGTCAGTGTAAAGTTAGAACGTCCGATATGCATATTTGCTCCCCATCAGTAGTGAATCAGAACATATAAAAGCCAGTGTATTAATAAAACAGGAAGGTGCCTAGTATTTTTAGAATGATTTCTGTAGAAGAACCCCAGACAAGAAATGAAATGCTGAGAATGGGGTTTTGTGGTGATATTGCACTGCAGCAGCTGGATTCCTGCACTTTCTGCCACAAACCCCACCATACCCAAAGGGGGCAGTGCTGGCTGGTGAAAGCAAAGCACTGTGCTGAATGTAGTAAGAGTGTCACCCTGGGTTAGAACAGGGACTAAAACTGCCACAGGTGATTTGTGTGTGCATTGAGGAGTGGGAATGTGAAGCAGGCATTAGAGCAGAACTTTCTCTCATCCATTACTAATTATATACCACAAACTATGGAAGAGACCCGTCTGCACGTTACAAGGCCTCATGCAGTAAGGTGTTCTACTGGTAAGTGTATTCTTTTTACTATGAGCACTAAGGGTGCACTGACTAATATTGTTACGAGCAGGGGCTATGTGTTGGTGTCAGACTACCTGACGAAACCTCATAAAACGCCTTCACTTTGTTAGAGTAAACAGGTGTCTTTCATTGTTGACACTTTTCTGTATAGCAGTGCAAGCCAGGGAAGAGAAAATGTCATTAACATAACCTGAACATAGAAGGCCTATTAAATGTTGCCAATCTTAAATTAGAGGAAATGAGGTGGCTGTATACTTACTGGTCTGATGTCAATATCACACATGCCAACACTCGTTGTGACAACATGGCTGACACCAAGCATAGTATTACCAGACAAGCCCTATAGGAGGGAAAAAAGGATTGCAATACAGATTAGAACATGTATAAAAAAAAAAAACCTGCATTTTAATTTCTGTGGTGGATAAACTCCAATTTTCCTGAAACATGAAAAATAACCATAACCTAATGGATCAGGACAATATACATTTTCCACTAATATGCAACTACATCCACAGTTCTCTGTACTGGCAAAGTTAGGCTAGGATGTTAGAAACATGTACTTAGATGTTGTCTACTTGCATTGGTCCAGCTTGGCCCAGCGTACGTTTACATATTTTATACCTGGTTTGTCTACGGGGATCCTGTGAAACACTATAGTATCCAGAGCTACTACAGTGCTTTACAGTGATCTTCTGGGTCATGTATTACCACACTGTGCTGAGCGGCTTCCACTCTGCTTGGAAAACACAGAGGGCCGATCATTTAGTACACACTGGCCATTCAGAGAACGCCTAGTATTTTTTAATCAATGGATACAAGGTGTTCAATTTGGCTAGGGGCAGACAGTGACATCACTTGTGCAGAGAAAGCGACCCCCAGGCTATACCTGGAGTTCAGCTTTGAATATTTTGTTCAATATCCCTAACTTTCAGTACCTTAAAACCACACTGTCTAATTCCACTGCATGCAATTTTCCATTAACTGTACTGTGAGGCAACTATGTTTTATTAGTGTCAGCAGACACATCCTTGACTATCTGTCGTTGGCTACTTTTCCTACTGTTGTTGCACAGCTTCTATTGAGAAAACCAAAGAGCCTGGTTGCAGCGCTGGTGATCTTAACATGCAAGTTTATGGAAAGAGATTTTAAATGTAAGCTCTTTCAAAGGATAGAGCTCACAGGTATATTTAATCTGCCTTTGCTGGTTAGATAAGCACTAAAGGAAGATCTGTTTTAAGACTGCGTTCATCGAGCCCTGGCTAGAAGGTTGAAAACAGCAACATAAACAGGTTAATAAATCTCACCTTAACATTTGAAGGATCAAATAACCCTTCTGGAATTTTCAGACGTTCTGCTCCAAAGTCACAATTATAACCGTTAGGAAATTCATAATGGACTGTAGGCATCTGGGCTGCCACTCTACAGAAATAAGACAACACTTTGTTCTAAATAAGGCTGTATACACTACGCATAGTTTATGTAGACACTAAGGCCAGATATATTTGGCCATGGTGTTTAGAAGAGATGGGACACTTTTGAAGATCACATATTACGTGAAGCATCTTGTAAACAGAAATTGGTTTTGGACTACTGATGTCATGGTAAACTTACTGCTCATCGTAGGTAGAGTCTGACACTTGTAGCGCAGATGCCTGGAAATCCTGAATCACACACTGAAAAATGTAAAGATGAATTAAGTGCTGTATCCTGTAAAAGTAACACACAAGGGACACACAGGCATGTCTTACTTACACTGCACATATAATTATGCCAGGAGCGAGTGACCTGAGGTAGTTTCTCTTTTTTCTTCCAATTGGCTGGCGCTCCTTCCCGTACTGGTTCCTAAGAACATAAACCCATGATGACCCTGCTGAATACACAGTATCGCTCTATATAAGCAGCCTATTAAGTGACCAGTTATTCTTGCCTTTGAAGCAATCATGTATGGAGGGATGAGATCCACATTCATCTCTTGAAATAACTCTCTGCACTGCATAGTAATGAAGTCTCCAGCAAGGGGAGATTTTACAATACCTGCCAAGAACAAACAAATAGAAGATTCAATAAATCTGTTATTTACAGGAATTTGCTATAAGCAATAGATGGTGGCTAACATCCGTCTGAAAGTACTGATTGCTAGCAGTCATGCTTACCTAGTGACGTCAGTCCCTTTTTGAGTCCCTGGCCCAGAAAAGTCTTATTCTGCATACAAGTTCCAGGTCACGGTCTCAAATTATTGAAGCAAGTAGGCCAGTATGCCAGTCAAGCAACTAGTAGTGGCCAGCGGCAGTGGCTAATGGCTTACTGGTTTAGTAATGGTCAACAATAGCAACCTGTATGTTTTTCTCATGACAAGTTTTTCTATTGGATTTTCTATGGACTATCCATATTCAGTTCTTTACTTGTTACCAGTAGATGATAGAATAAACCATTCACTCACATTCACTCCAAAAAAGGCCTTCAAATGCAGCCTTAGGTAAATTGAAAACATCAATTAGTGGAGTTATGTATTCATTTAAACAAATCCTGAAAAATGCTTCAGGTATAATGTTTGACAAAACTGCTCAATCTTTTAATATTTATTTCCTATTTTTAATTCTATTTTTTTTGGTACAACATGCTCTGAAAATCCCTAATTGATTGTATATAAAAACCTTTGAAAACGGAAAAACGTGAGAGAAAATCCTGAATTGTAGTTTTATATGCAACTGGTGTAAGTACTGGAATTTGACTTGGAATCAGCCCCCAGTACACAGACTTGGAAGAGAGAGTGACGGCATTAGAAGCCAATCAGGTGTTATGGGCTGACAAGGAACATGCTGACAGGAGGAGAGAGTGAGGAATGACAGAGCAGAGGGATGACCTCATCAGTATGCTGCTGCTTTTTCGCTGTACCTGATGAGGGCAAGAAGGTGACCACACTGTATCGCATTACTGCAATACAGAAAGTCAGGTCATCAACCTGGTTGTGTTGTATATCAAGGCTGTGTAAATCTCATAGATGGAACGGAAAGAAATTCAATCCTTTGGCAGGTCAAACAGCTCCAAATATGTTATTTCACTGCTTTCCAGTGTTCATTCACTCAGACTGCTGCCTCCTGCCCGACATTCCTTAAATAAAAAAAAAATTGAAGGAGCTGAGTGTACACTTTGAACATGCCTCATACGTGTGCTATTAAAGATTGTCAGGAAAACCGAACTGACATCATACAGTTCCACACTCCGTATCCCCCTTCCACACTGTCTGCAGATACATTACCGGTATTAGCTGCTCTTACCTTGTTGAAGTACATATCCATCATGAACTGGAATGGCTGTAGTATGCGTGGACCCACTATCCAAAATCAGACCTGTAGATCGACCGTTGGCAAATCTGATTCCAAGAGTCAAGAATCTTATTTTACACAGTACAGATGACATGTATGGAATTTCAAACATCAATTTCCATATTTTTAAATCTGCAGCTTTCTTTAAAAGACTACCTGGCGATTCTGCCATGAAGGTCCTTACGCAAGCACTTTCTGCAATATATTTGACAATGCTCTGTACCTGCCCCTTAATTGTTCTCCTGTGTTGTCACCTGGTCACATGCTGTCCCAGTGGAGACCACAAGTGGCCATGGCAATGCACATTGCATAGGCATGTTCCATGGTTGTCTTCATCAGGAAACGCCAAGCTGGAGCACATACTTTTAGATCAACAATGTTGAAATGCAGCAATGGATTAACCCTTTTGCTACCATCTATTTTTTTATATCGTCTTGCAAAAAAACATTTTTATGCAATCCATATAGGGAAAAATAAACTTTAAAAAAATCCCCACTGTCTACTGTTTGATCAGTGTTAGTGTGAAAAAAAAAAAAAATGTTTTTACAGATTAAAAAAAAGTACACATTTTATTTTATGATTTGTGCTGTTTAAAATGAATGACACTAACATTATGATTCTGGTACAAAGCATTGCAAAGTTATTTATGAAAATAAAGTCTTTTGTTTTTTAAACTTTGCATTTTTTTAATGTGACAATGAAAAACTTAATGAACAAAACAAATAGAAAATTAATGGTTAGAACTTTAAAAAAAATGAATATTAATAAGTTAATTATAAAATCAGAAAATAATAGTTAAAGGGATAAGGGGGAATCACTGCAAGATATCTGAAATGTATTAAACAAATACTACTGGAAAAGGATACGCTGTGAGAACGGCAGTTTTGCAGAGGAAGAACGCTGGAATATTGTAATGCTCAAACATCAGCTCGGTCAATTTCTCTCGTTTTGCTCTTGTATTCCACTTTAAAAACAAAATGTAAAAAAATGAGCAGTTAAAATTGAAAAAAATCTCCATTCTGTATTATATAAAGCATTGGAAATATGAACAAATGTACTTACAGCAGCCTCAGACATCAGTACCGGATGTAAACTGGCTTCTGACTTGACGTGTGTTTTGTATGTATGGTCTAAAATAGCCTGAAAACTGTCCCAATCTTCAACTAGAAGAGAAATAACAAGTCAGTTAAATCACACCCACCAGTCTGCTTGTTTCAGAACCATCACATCCATTAATCTACGCGTTTCAGTACAAAAACAAACATACACTTGGCATTGACCGAAAACTTTCTGGCTCAGGTAGAATGTTTGTCCCCAATTTCTTTTACAATGTTTTCATTTCTATACATACTAATGCTGCTCACTTGAAGTGAAGTGACAATACTACTTAATCTGTGTTGGGATTAAAAGAGAACTAGGGTCAAACCTTTTTTTATATTTACTAATGTCCTCATGTGACCCAAAACTCAGCACATAGTGGGCTATATGCTGAAAGCGCAAAGCCATGCTGCAGCTGGGAAAGATCCCAACAATATTGTCAGGATCCACCCTGCTGCATGATTGACAGTTGGCTCTGCCTCTCTAGAGCCAGCTCTGTGCGTCGGCTCTAATTATGGGGATGAGTGCATTTCACTCTCCCCATAGTTCTCCTTTAACCATTATCCTGACCCCATTGCCTCAGTATTACAGACAGGACAGAACAAGGTAATGTTTTTTCGTGATGCATTCTCTAATGGACAATGCCACAGAGTCTGTCTGGCTAGAACCCTGAAGATCAGAGAGCTGGTGTTGAGCGGGCTTGCGGATGCGTGCGCGCGCGCACACACACACACTTTCATAGGTTTAGGCGTACTTATCTATATGTCAGTCTTGAAATAACAACCATGTTTTGCAACCAGATGACTTTCTAATACCCAACCACTAAGCAATGATATACAGGCAACCAAGTGGATGCAATCTGTCAGTGACATAAAAAACAAAAAAAGACTTACTCATTCCATTTTTCAGTGGTGAAAAAGCCTCCATGTTTTCTCGTGGTACCCTGAGTGCATTTGTATCAATATAATAGCTGGGACCTCTTGCTTTATTAGGCTCGCCATCAGTTTCCATCTGTGTGCTTCCATCTTCTCTATCAAGTACTACACCAATCGTTGTAGGAAAATCTACCTGCAATGGTTTCATATCATGCTTTAGTTATTTGAAAAACGTTCCCCATTCAATTCTAAACTCTCTGCTGAAATACAGACAGAAGAATTATTCAATCTGCTATCTACCGCTAACAGCACATATCTTTGTGCCACTAAACAAGGCCCAGAGTTGAAAACACCTTCCAATGGTGTGATTTGAAAATGTAACATTCAGATATAAACAACAAAGCTATCTGATCAGAATTCTCCCTTTTTCCACTTACCTTTGGACAATCTTCTCCTGCATACCCAGCACGTACCGAATATGAGCCAATGTCAAACACCAAGGCTCCGACTTCATCTAAACCAGAAGAAATATGTACAATTAATTAAAATACTTACATGTCACAACTGGAATGAAAAGTAAACTGTGTTATATATTAGACGGACTGAAGCAAAGGTCAAACTCCTCACTGGATGGATTGAACCAAAAGTCAAACTTCCCACTGCTAAGCATCTCCGGGATCAGGATAGGAAGGCCCCTCCTTAGCCATTGCTGTTGCCTTGAAAGAACTTGCTAAGCAGAAAGGCCGATCCAGAAGATTGTTAAATTTAGGCAACAGAATGGCAAAGGTTTGAGCGAAAGCCAGGCAGGCATCTTCCCAAATCATGTTTGCTTTCGTTGGAAGCACAGAATTCCAAAGCATTTGTTAGCCTCTTTTTTTGTCAATATAGTTTTACAGTAAACTCCCCGTTATCCGGCATCCACAGGGATTGGTAGGTGCCGGATAAATGTTGTTTCTGGTTATTAAATATAGTTCCAACTAATGCCATACCCCATACTATACCATAACAAACTCTGTATTGACTTCATATAAATGTTGAAATGCAGTAATCAAAAACAAAGACCAATCGACACACAATCATTTCCAGGATAATACATGCCACAGATCAGCAAAACAGGGAGTACACAGGGGATTTTATTTTTCTGGTTAGAAGACAGTTCTAGTTAGTTGAATACCGGATAACTGAGAGCTTACTGTATTAACTCTTCATCTAAAATAAAACAGGACAAATAAAAAAAAAAAAAAAAAGAGTTCATATATCAGAACATTATAGAAAATCGGTGCACACGTATCAGAGGGGACACGGTAGAACGACCTCACACCACACTGTGCCAAATGAACTTAATAAAATGTCCCTTGTGACATTTCAATTTTAAAAAAAAGTAAACAGTGCTATGTGCCAGGATCAGCACATCAGAACTCTATAGGTTGAACTCGATGGACTTGTGTCTTTTTTCAACCTGGCTAACTATGCAAGAGCTGTTCCGGGTAACACACACCAGTGCAGCTGCTGGTGTATAGGACCGCAGTGTTGTGTAGCACAAGGTGAGGCTTACCACAATCTTTATTGTATCACTTTCCCTTTCTTTAGACAGATATGAGGGGGGCTGCTGTTGCTGATCACATAGTGAGAATGCATAGTTGCCTGGCTGCTGGCCCATGGCCCTATTATTAACAGAGGGTGGATATCACTATGTGCCGGACTCTGCAGTGTTTACTCCACACTGCGCTCTCTATTTGTATCCCGATGACAGAATGCAGACCTTAGTGTAGAGCCCGTGGTGTACCACGGTGCACTCTCTGCATAATGCTGTGCAGACCACTCTGTAACTGGTGGAGCACTCAGTCACATGACACTGACAGGTCACATGACCAAGCACTACCAGCTTTCCCTCCCTACTTATATATTACAATAGAACTTGTTCTGTACCTTGCTGTGGCCCCTAAAAGTCTAAAGCCCATGACACACTGCACGCAACGCCGTGCAGAGCGAAGCAAAGCTGTCCGGCACGGAGGTTTGCGTGCAGTGTGTGAGTTGAGTGCAGTCAGATGATTGACTGCACCTTCAGCCAATCGGCTCGTGCGTAACAACCAGCCAGACGTCGCATGCGGACGCGCGGGTTTCTACACGAGAGTCGATTGGCTGAAGATGAAATTTTTTTCATCTCGGCACGCTCAGCTACGCGAGCTATCACAAGCTGACGTGCCAAGGAGAAAATTACATGACACACTGCTTGCGAAGGCAGCGTGCCGCTGCTTCGCATGCAGTGTGTCACAGCCTTTATACTCACCTGTCCCTGATCCAGGCAGATATCGCCAACAATGCTGCAGTCCATGCATGCACTCTCCATTCATTCCTATAGACAATCTGTATTCCAGCAATGGACAATCAGTGGATATCATTATGAGCAGCAGCATCACCAATTGCTCAATGGTTTAGGGACAGGGGAGTATAAGAGATTAGAAGGGGCAGCATGACAGCCAGGCAACCAGCATTATCAGAAGAAGAAGCCAGCAATGACATCTCCCAGCACAGGTCCTCCTTAGACCCCATGTGACTCTCCAAACAAGCTTACAATCACAGTACTCTGTACCCTATGGAATGGACCACATTGGAGGCTCTGCTCCATTGCAGCCCTCATGTATAGAAAGAGAAAAGGGACCGACTCGGGGCTTATGTCTGGCCTCTCTCACCTCCACCGTACACTCCTCCGCTCATCTCCAGCTTGTATACTGATATCGGACGATACCGGATCTCTACACAACAACCACCGGAGCCGGGAGCCACACGTTAACCGCCAACAATGGGCTGAAGGACCTTCGTGACGTCACGGTCATGTGACCCGTTCCCGGGGTGGAAGGGGCGGAGTAACTGCTCTGTGAGCTGTGCAGTGTTGTCACCAGTGCAGTGTTTTGCTGTGTGCGTTCTGTACTGATGTGCTCACTGCCAAACACTGACTTACTAACAATAAACCCGTTAATATAATTCACCTTATTACAGAAATATTTGACCTGCATCACAGACTTCCTACACACATAAGTGTCATGCTACATTGTACACAGTTTGCAAAAAAAACCCTTTCGCTGCCGGGCCCTGCGCTCCATTTTTGTCCTCAGCTGGCCACACCATTTTTGCGACTTTTCACTCCCCCCCATTTTCGACTGCAGCTTTCAGAGTTTGTAAAATACCTCTCCAAAACCATACATTTTCTGAAAGCACAGGCCTGTGTAGGTCCCGCGGCAGTATCAAATCAATATTTTCAATAAAAATACACAAAATTAGTATCGGCACACACCAAAAAACATCATTTACAATACTCTTCTAGAAGATAAAACTACTGAGTTATTAAATAACAAATATTTGTACATTTTAAATTGCGCCTTTTTGTGAAACTGTAAAAAAAAAAAAAAAGAAATGAAGGAACGCAAAACTAAATAAGCAGCTTATGCTGAAAATCTGTTTTGTGGTAACACCTGATCTGCGGTGCTGTTTGTGCTCTCTGGAGTGCGTATTGATACAATGATGCAGGCCAGTGGCGTCAAGGGGGGTGCGGGACCAAGAGCCCGACAGTGTCAGGAGAGAGGAGGGAACCCAGCGGCATACCTTATTCCGCAGGGTGAACGTCCCCTCCCCTCTCTGCCGCCGTCCACCACACGGATGGCTGCCGGCAGGCGTCAAAAAGACAGCTGCGCAGACGCGATGACGTCATCGTGCATGCGCTGCAACGTCATGCGCATGCGTGATGACGTCACGGCGTGTTGTCACCCAGTTTTCCCCCCCCGGGTGACGCCACTGATGCAGGTATATATATAATTGCAACACATTGTATTACAACGTACAGCAACGTGTCACACTGCGCCATGCGCTACCACACAGTTGCATTCATGTATTCAAAAGTTTAAAAAAAATAAAAATCAAGCACTGTGATGTGTTTGAACAACATGGGGGCTTTGGGGAAATATTGAGTGTCTAAACAGACCCCTGACATTTCCCTTTTGAGATAGAAAAATAAATTGTGGACCTGCAGCCCCAACACACAAGGAAAGGAAGCAATAAGTACAGAGGCTTCCCCCATTCATTCATAAGCTGAGGAGACATAGAATGGTTACAATCTCCCCAGTTATGAATGGACAGAAAGCCTCTGTACTGAGCTGCTCCTGTCCATTCATAAACTGAGAATATAGTAAGTTTTTACTGTGTCTCCAGTCAAGAATGAACAGGAAGTTATGTGTAGCACTTCCCGTTCATTCATAACTGGGGACATAGCAAGGCTGGGTTCACACCTAGGCGTATTGAATATGCCCGTTTGTCGCGTGGTTTTTTTACCGCGATTCGCGGTAAAAAAACGCGACAAACGCGCGTTTCCGAGGGCTACTTGGCTGTATCCCAATGGAAACGCCCAACAAAAACGGCCCAAAGAAGTACATGTACTTGTTTGGGCGTAGGCCGTTTTGTAAGGCGTTCAGACGGGCGGAAATACGGAAAGGTGTGAACCATACCCATAGAAAACAATGGGATTTTCATGTTTGTACGTTTTGTAGAGCGTTCATAGAGCCTTGAACGCGCGACAAAACGTAAAGGTGTGAACAGGGCCTAAGCGATTACTATCGCCTCAGTTATTTACAAACATTGGAGTGAGAAGAACTGATCACTGGTGTTTGTTCAGTGAAGAGAAGAATTGGCAAATGTTTGCTGATTCTCCGCTCTCCACCCTGAACCCGCCCACAATGCCCGCTCAGCATCCTGACAACTGATCACAGCTGATCTCTCCTTCACACTGGACACTGGCTGCTGTGGCCTGTGTCCCCTCCGATCCCTGCTGCCTCTGTCGATACAGGGGGAGGGGGGGGTGAGAGCACTAGGGACACAGAACTGATCAGCACCCAATGGGTGACAGTGGGAGCATCTGATGACAGCTATTCATTTACACAGCACAGTCAGGGGAACCCTTCTGATAAGCTTATGGTCCCTGAAGTGACCACAAGCTTATAGCAGAAGGATGAAAGCCAGTGCCGTAAGGCATACTGACATGGCCAGGTGGAAATGTTTTTGTTCCACCGTATGGCAGGGAAAGGGTTAAAAAAACCTATCCCTCGCTCCTCCTGTGTGTGTCTCCTCATCCTCCTACCCTGCACTCTCCTGACACTGCAGCTACGGTACACTTTGCTGATATAGCAAGTGACAAAAGTGCCAGAGGTACTGGCATCATAGGTAAAGGGTATCTATGGTCAAAAAATACAAAGCTACAAATAAATCTGTATTTATTTTTTTTTTTTTAAACAATCAGTTTTTATTAGATTTTCAGTACAAAAAAAATACCAACAGTAGAAAGAGTAGGGGGCAACACGGTAGATGTTAATAGAACCCGGTCAAATACGAGGCATTGATATTAAAGAGTCACACATTCCATTAGGGACGATCACATGCCCCAGGGAACAGTAAAGTATAGGGCCCTTTGGTGGGTTCCTAAAACGGTTTTAAGCCATGGCACCTGTAGATTAAGCCTCATACCAGTAGTATAAGAGTTGAGATAAAAGACCAGACAGTACTCAGGCAGACATAAGGTGGGGGAAGACATATGAGAGTACACAAACCCAAAAGACATGACAAGAAGAAGGCGAAAGAAGAAAAAAAAGAAAACAAAAAGTAAGAGTGAAAACTAAGTGGGAAATGGGAAGAGAAAGAAAGAAAGGCTCCTCGGACCCCAGCAGCATGTACCATCCAAACTGTGGGCCCATTAATTACAGTAAAGACAGGTCGCAGGCCATATTTCCACAGAGGATATCTCGCTGTTTACAATGCGAGGAATGTCGCAGATTCCATATACAAAACGCAAGGGGCCCATAAGGTTGCGCATAGGGGTTGACAGTCCCCCAAAGAAGCCGTCAACTCTTCATAGCGCATGATCAGGCACAGTTCAGCAATCCACTCCCGCACGTCGGGGTATCATGGTGTTCCAGTGGCGGGGGATAATCGTCCAAG